CCCACACCACATCACGCCACGCCAAGCCACCACTCCAAAGTGGAGGACGAAATCACGGATCTGATCGGATTCATTTGTGATTCGACGTTATTTTTCCGTTGCACGGTACCCGATTTCTCGCTCACACCATACTGCCCTGTTGTTGTTGTTGTTGATGATGTTGTTGTTGTTGTTGTTCGTCTATGACCCTTTATTATCGTCTTCCCACAAACATGCACACCTACACACAGAATCGCACATACACATAACGGTAGAACTGTAACTGGATTGAATAGTTGTTAGTTGTCTTGTTGAATAAGAGAGAATAACTGTTTTCGTTTACACTGCGCAGGCCTGCAGCCCGGATTGAAAATGTTCGTTCTCAGAACCGCTTTACTATCAATGTGTGTCTGTGGTAAAAATAGCCAGAAGTGTTGTGATCGATTTTTTAAACCCCTTCCACAGAATTAGGAGAGTAACGTGATCTCAAATATTATGCACATTGTCATAATTATCTATCCGACTTTATCCAATTTATCAAAAATCAATTTGTGTAGGCAAAAGATACGTGAAAGATTCACATTTCCACGGTTTTCTTACTGGTACACAAATGAAATGAGTGATAAAACACTGGACCGCATTACCTTTTTCACGAGTATTCATTGCGATACGAAAAAACAGCGCTTAATAAAGGGCCCATGTTTGGTCCCGGGGTAGAAAAAAAATCACTGCAAGAATACCTGAGTAAGGCGACAGTGAAACTACCTATTGTCAAAGCGGAACTGCGGTGAAATTGAAGTCTGGAGCCTTGTGAGAATACTCTTGAATGATTGACAGCAATACAAATCGCTGGACTGAATGGGATCAAGATTATTTCACAAACCAATTTTTATGCTCATTTAAGTGGAGGAGTAATGTCTAATGGCCGCAAATGAAGTGGTTTTGATTGATATAAATCTTGTATCCAACATCTTTAATGAACATTTAGGTGAATTGAATAGATCGGGAATTGAAGCTGGCCAACATCTGATAACTGTCTCTGAGGTGGTTCCTACATCCATCAAATATGCGTTAAAAGAAGTCCACACAGACGGCCGTCGTAAAGCTATCATATGAACCAGCTGATTGCAGTTGTATTAGTTTCTACTAGCTTCAACTGTCCTGTGTACCTAGGGCCACCTTTTCTCTGTAGTTAATGTACTGTAACGAAACTATCGCTAGATCTGTATGAAATCTCTATTTCATGGTCTCCGGTTGCAGAAGACGAAAATTGAAGAATTATTTTGTGATACAACAATATTCACCATTTCTTAAATAACATAACTGTGTATGCATCGAAACCTTTTTCCTGAGATGATGACAGGCTATTAGTTCGGAGATTATTGTACAGTTATTCAGTTTTCTTTGTGCTTTTATTCCTTTGGTGTACATCCACCAATTGGAATAAACAAGGAATAAACGATCAAATTCAGCGGGGAATTTCGTTTGCGCATAATCAGCGAGATCCGTTTCATGAGCTGCCAACCTGTTCATAACCATTACGGCACTGAAGACCAATGCAAATTATAAATTACGGTTTTGGGGGCAGATCTAAGCCAGTCGGCACTTACCAAACATCACTCATAGTGAATAACTGATTTGATTGAAATAATCCCGTTTCACTCTGCCTTATGGTTGACAATATGGGACAAGCTATTCTACACTCTGCTTCATGGTTTCGAATTTGCGACAAATGGAATTACCTCGTCAGAATGGTGGCATTCAGTCAAGTATGTCATAGTTGGAAATATACCCAAAACAGCTGGGCGATGTGCCACTCAACTCCCGATTAGGATGTTTTTAATGATGGTGAGTTCCAAGTGGAGACGACCCGATGTTCCTCATCGGTCAGTGTCAGCACTGTTGAAGTATAAATATCTGCTCAATGTTGATAGTGAAGTCCATGTACATGATGTAAATTTATGCGATAACCGACAAAGAGTGCTGGACAATTGTTTCTTCTTGTTTGTAACTCATCTGCAGTGGACGCTTTTTGTGTCCCTTCCCACAGTGGAAACACGAGTCTTCTGGTTGGGAGTAAAAACAATTACTTGCGAGCTACTCAACCAACAGATAACACCTTGAGCAAATGGCTCAATCACTTTAGATTCACACTTTAGATTCATTCGAGTGTTTACATGCGCCAGAAACCGTGGGTTGTCGTTGATGTGGGTGTTACTTCATCGTAGACCATCAATCCCTCCTCAATTTTTCCAGTGTTCTCTGTGTCTGCCATCACAAAGACTTTCGTCGCATATAGATTCATCCACCTGATGGGTAGTTCAATATATATTTCAAGGAGTGCAACCCTAGCCCAAGATCATCAAATCTGCTTGGTGCCTGCAAACAATCTAATGGGCCGATACTAATCGTCGTTCATATATAAATTAATTAGATTTCGAGGGTGAATGGTTGGGTCAGCTCATTCGGTTTTTCACGGGCACCGAGCACTATTGCAGATCTTCGGTTAAATCCCCACAAGTGAAATTCAATGAAACGCGAGGGTAATATTTGTGATAATCCGCAAAGAGCACTGGACAGATGTTTCGGACTGTTTCGGACTCCTTACCAGTGCCTATGTTTGTTTTCCTGTCAACACTCGAACGACGAAGCTTAGGTTTGGGTGTCAATACCCGTACCCCTGAGCTGTGCGGTCGATGGCTATCACCTTGTGCAAATGGCTAATCCAAACATTCACCTTCTAAATTCATTGACCCATTCGCACAAGGTGATAGCCGTCGACCGTGTAGCCCAACCAGAAGCTTCGCGGTTTGAGTCCTAACAAGGGCACAAGGGCACGCACTGTTAAGGAGTCCCAACCAGGATGAANAACCAGGATGAAACAGCTGTCCAGTGTATTCTTTGTCGCTCATCACAAAGATTTCCATCGCATTTAGATGCGACTGGTTGAAAATGATAATTTCACTAATTGTTGTTCAACTCTTATACCCTCGAAGCTGGCCACCAATTGGATTGACTGAAACACCTCTTCCGTTGTTCACAGATTGCTTTTCATGGGGTTTTACACTTCAAAGCTTGGTTTGGGGACTTAAAACTCCTTTTTACTAATAAACAAGAACTTAAGGTTGTTTTATCGTTATTACCACCTTTAGGTATTACCGTTATCTCTCGGAATTCACGTTATTTTTTATTCAAAATTAAATATTTTCAGTCTTTCTATTCGTTATTTTATCGATAGTATTGGAATTATGCATGGCTGTATTCCCATTTCTACAGTAGTCTTTATAGTAGACGTTAAATCCATTCCTATCACTGCAACACGGTCGCTGAACTACTCACTGAATGGTCTGTTGCTGACCGATATGACGTCCGCCCATTTGCAACATAATATATGTTTCACTTGTGCAGCCTGATTATCCTAAACAAATTAGGTTGATCACTGACCGGAATCAAAGCTTACAGTGTCGTTTTTTCTGTGTCCTGGACAGGGTTCATTAAATCTCACATATGAGTGGACAGTTCATGGCAGTTCATACTTTTCGGTGGTTTTACGCTCACCATAGTGACATACAGTTTCAATAATCGATGAAGTTTTATTGATTTCACTTGGTAATGACGATTTTGACGAACCAGTGCTAATATGTGCATCTGATGCTGCTTGTTCTAAACATACGGCATTTGGTACGTACTGAAGTGTAAACTCAGACTTATTTTGGAAACAGATAAGCTGATAAGTTCATGTGAGGTAAACAAAACGAGCGCTGACCGTTTTGGGATGAAAACAAACGACATTTGCACAATTAGTTAGCAGATTGAATAAAAATTGAACACCTGAATAGTTTCACCAGAACCGTAGAAGTTTCTGAGAGGAGGACAGACGGATTACATTAAAGAATGAACAAACTATGCAAAAGATTCCTTCAACATTGGGTAAAGAAAGACGGTTAATGAAAACTAATTATCATCTAAAAATGTGCCCACTAAATATCACCGTTGATTGATGTCCTTAACAAGTATGAAGCTGTACCGATGTAATCAGCCTGTGATAAAGAATATGGTCAAATTACCCATTGGTTTTCAGTGCATGTCACCAGGGACATGAAGTGGGAAGCACTGATAATGAGGACTGATCATGGTTAAACCTTGTGGCGGACACAACTCTCTTAACAATTTAACGTATACAAACACATTCAGAGAGGGTATCCACGGTGAGAAATTGAGTTGATATGGTCCTCAAAACGAAATGAGAAAAAGCTCTTCTTTACTAGGTAAACAGTTACGCTACTGGTTGAATGCATTAAAACTGAATAGGTAGAATTTCTCTATTTGCATTTCGTTTTGTGAACATATTCTCTCCATAATTGTTGAAAAACGTAAACTAATTAGAATTTTTATTCCGTTATTACAACTTCTCATCTCCTCTGTTTGACTGATCTCTAGTGTTTGCATAATTTTCAAACGGCATTCAACCGCATAAATCTACTTCTGTTAACTTTGCAATCCGCAAAGTAGGATAGAACAGTGCCAGTTGAAGGATCTGACACTAACATGTGTGTGAGAAAGTTTGAGCGCTTTTGTCGTCAGTAGGAAGACGGAGAGAATGAAAGAAGTTTGGTCTTGGCAGATCACACGGCGTGACCATGATACTCTGACGAGCACTCCGCTCGCTAAATCTGATCTTCTTTCCTTCGTATCTGACTTTTGTGCTTCATTTCACTCCGGTTTGATGAACTGATGCATGTCTCCGGTTCTCATCTCCGGTTGATACGAACACTTTCGAAGCGTATCACTGAGAATGACAGAAAAAATGTGACGAAAGTAGATCTTTCTTGGTTTGCGTAGGACTCGTTCCACAGGACGACGGAAAGTGAGTTTGACTTCCCGAGTAGATTAGCTGGTTAAAATCATGACGCACTTGAAGTCGGTTCAGGGCGTCATTCTCAAGGGGGCATAATGTATCAGTACGTTGTTATACACAAAAACACATAAAGATAAATCAATGCGGTTGAGAAAAGAAGCAATCAACTCTGTGAATTTTCTGACACTGAATGACCAGTTCTTCTACTGTTCAAGCAATAGCGATCTGTTCGTATTTCATCAATGAGGACTTTATCGAGAAATCATAAATCAGGTTAAGGTTCAATGCTTTTGATAAAAAAGATGTATGCGTGATAAACCATGCACTGTTAGCGTGTAAAAAGCTACTGAAAGCCAGTGAGTGGAAAAACAACCTCTCTGGCGCGAACTCAACACCAATTTGGTTCCATCCACATGCACCGTTGATGACTAATAACAGTCCCGATGGAACAGCTGTACACAGAAGCCTCGAAATATTTTCTCTGCTGACTCCCAAAGTGTGCTATTCACAGTACACTTTGGGAAAGTGAGCAGGCTTTATCCCAGTTCTAATGTAGATTGAAGTCAACAAATATCTACCACCTCCGAATTCAATGAAGAACAAATGCGGTGTAATAGTGGTAATGTGCACACGGTTGCTAATGATCAATGGATTCAATGGCTGGATCTATGGTTCAGCAACACTCGAAGCCTATCAGTTCACTTTGAGGCTAATCAGTAGAAGTTTGAGGATTGTTTGTTTAGGCGAAAATTTGATTGCTCATGAGTGCAGCATTCGCTTTTATTTTTTGGCACGTCCAGAGTGCAGTAATCAGCACAGGTACTAGTTAATGCAGAATTTTATTAACGAATTCTAGTTTGAATCTGGAGGGAACCATTAGAAATGCAAGATCCATAATGTTAGATAATCTGTGTATAACGGCTTTTCAGGGTTTCAAAGCTATTTTGTGATAAACGACAGATTCACTTTGAAACATTGCACCATAGAATCACTGTGATGCATTACAGTTCTCGTTAATAGGTATGAACATTCAAGATGCAACGACGGGTCAAATATGAATGTCCGTCACGCCCTGGACAATTGGTGATATGTACGCAGTTTAGTTAAATATTTTCTAGCAAAATCTTGTCCTTTACACTTCATCGTAATGAAATGTATTGCGTTCCACGAACGTAATGTCCTCAATCGTTTTATGCATAAACATGTTCCATTCACGCTGTTGATCAATATTTGATAATTCTTGTGATTATTGATCGTT